AATTAGGTGTTATTTTGCGGAAGTCCATTTCACTATTTAATTAATTTATATTATTTGGTTTAATTCCGCTACAATTAGCATGTGTGAGACCACAAATGTTAAGTTTGGAAAATAATAAACATACATCAAGTAGGAATATGCATTATTAATTGCAAAAGAATCATCGATATCGGTTCACAGTTTATTATTTCATCTTCAAAAATGATAAAAATATACATCAAAAAAATACAGTCAAAAGACTGTATTTTTTTCTATTATGACGTTTGTTTTCTATTTTAAACTAGCTGTATCCGCGACTTCGTCTTCGTGGAATTTAACTTTAATTTTTTAAAATAAAATTAGCCTAAGTTACTCCTTATTGCATCAGCTACATGCCAAAAAAAGTCCCGTCAAAATCTGTCCGGTCATTTCAGAGATTAGCCGGAACAAATAGACAAACAGACAATAATTGTAAAAAATGATATTTTTGTGTATGTACCGTATTTATATTCATATGCATATAGTAAAAAACGGTTATTTCAATATTACAAACAGACACTCCAATTTTATTTATATGTATAGATAAAAGTTCTAGTACAAGTTTGATAGATCGGTCCAGTTGTATTTTAGTTATCCTTAATAATGCATGGCTTTAAAATAGTGTTTTTTGTTTAAATTTGTTATGTATGGTTTCGGCAAAGCTTTTCCTTCAAGGTGTGTTCGTTTTTTATTTTTACATTATATAAATTTATTATATTATTCATTATATTACATTAAACTCTTCTTGATACTCTAAATACTGCACTAAAAACTGCACAAGTTATCATATATAACAAGGATTTATATAACACTAACTGCGACCTGCAACTTGTCTACTTTTTTTACATACATAACATAGTTTATGTGACATAATGTATTTTCACCAACCACGCCCCTAATATTTGTTTAACTTTAAAATTTTTCGGTTGGTTTTTTGGTACTAATATTGTGTAAGACTTTCTGATAGACTCCCTAACGTACTGTAAAAAGTAAACTTGACTTTATGAATCCATTTTGTTAAATATGAGAATTTGTAAAACTGCTTTGATATGTCTGTCAGTGAGTAAGGATCAGTTTTAATGTCTTAAACTGTTCCTTGAATCAAATATCTCAAATAATGTAAGCGATACTGTTTTTATAATTTTATTCGGTACAATAAATACGTATTTATTTGCTATGCTAAATATGAAATCACTTTTACACGAAATTTGATTACCATAAATCTGGTTATAGTGAATTAACCTTAACACATATTATGTATGTTGTCGTGGACATTTTTTCGGAATTTTTAAAGAAGAATAATTCTGTGATATTATATAGCCTATAGCACTCGAGAATGACATAACAGTGAAAGAATTTTTAAAATCGGATGAGCAGAAGCGAAATTAAACCGGAACAAACAAACTTACAAACAATACCTTTTTATAATTTAGTACCTATAGAGTAATATCCTTTTAGTAACAAACAGATAGACAGACTTCCGTATTTATAATATTATGAGATAAAGTTATGAATATTTATATACATTTTTAATAAACAAAGTCAGCAGAAGTTTATTTCAAGAAATAGTGTAATAATAGTAAACATTGGTCAATAAACATAAATAATAACAAGTATATAGAAGAGATAAGTTTTAAAGATGTAACTTAGATATAGAACCTAATTTCGGATATGAACACACTTGTAGTTTATTTACAATTGTTTTTGCAAATAGCCAAAAATGAAAATAAAGTGATTTTATTTTTGAAAAGGTAATAAATATTAAAAATTGCCTGTCTGTCAGGCAATTTTTCTCATTTTGAATATCTGTATGGAAGTATTAATTATCTATCTTCTATTGTACTTTAAACAAAAGGAGTAAGTACTTTTAGATATTTTAAGAATAACTCACCCAAAACAGCAATGAATAAAACAAATGCAAAAGTCTTCATCATTGTATTAATTAATTGTTTTTTTCATAAGAAGATATTTTTACAATGATTTTATCACTAGTTATGAATGGTGTATTGAGACATCTAATATATATATTACTATAAAATCTAGATCACTTATTGATAAACCTGTTAATTTTGAAGATAACGAACTAATCTTCAATCAAAGTAGTTTATGTGATATGCCGACAAATAAAATATTTGATAACGGCATTATGGAAGCATATCCGTAGGAAATAAAAAAAATAGCACCTATTAAATTTCTTTACGTTTAATGAACTTATTTTTAAATGTATCTAACACTGGATTTCAATGTGCTCGAAATTTTAGGATAAAAAAAATACTTTTAAATTCTTTTCTTGCTATATAAATAATTGTTATATTTATATCAAGTAATGTTTTTCCGAGTAGTATACTATACTTTACATAGCGAATAGGGCAAATTCCTATGGAAAATGGAGATAAAGGCTTTGGGAAGTGATATACAAAGAAACATCCAGTAAATAATATAATTTTCAAAGAAATAAACCTTCAGTCATATATAAATATCGTCAGGAACAATGTATTGTTTTGATTTAAAAACCAAATCCATTTCCTATGGATCTAACTTGTAAGTGAGTCTTTCACAACAAAATTTTCCAAATAAATTTATAAGTAACGTCTTATGTAACAAATATAAAAATATACACAATAATTCAGGAGAGTAGGTATATTAAGTGTTACAATCGATTATTATTATGATAATCAATATTCGATATTATCTGTAAAATATTATCTTACAACTGAAGTACTCTGTACTCTGTCACAAAAAGCATGACTAAATAGTAAAATTACCTAAGTACCGCTTTACTTAGAAAATGAGGTATCTTGTTATTTAAATAGATTTGTAACATTGATAAGTGCCATAAAGTGTGGTATTCATTGTAATGGTTGATGAGTTCATTATTGACATGGATTGTCGTGAGGTTCCTTTATATAAAATGTAATGGTGATGTAAAGTTTTTTTGTTACACACACAACCAATAGTAATAAAAATATAATATTAAATAAAGTATATCTAATATAAATTGAAGGCCCCGGTGATCTAGTGGTTTAACACACAACTTTACTTCCGATGGTCGCTCGTTCGATTTCTCGCACGATGGAAACATTTGTATTTATGTGTATGATTGTTTGTATCGGTCTTGATGTTTTCTACGTATTTACAAAAAAAAAAGTATTTATATTAGTTGTCTAGTAGTTATAACACAAGCTCCTACCGTGGGACTTGATGGCGCTGTGTTAATTGTCCGGGGTTATTTATTTATTTGAATTACTACTTATTATACACAGAGGTAATTCTTTTTAATAGAAATTAATTAATATATACAATTATTATAGGTGAATTTATAGTATAGCTTTGATATGAAACATTCCCTGCCAAGTAATTTTGGGTCAGTAAGTGACTGGTATACATAACTTATCCTACTTGGACGAGATTCCCGAACTTTTTGCCAATTTTCTTACTGTATGCGTCACTTGTAAGACTATTAACCTACAAAGTATATCTTTACAAATACCTCACTAGAGACTATTTTGTTGCTATTACAAGTCGAGACAAAAGTAAAAAAAATGCTAGAAACTTTAGAATGAGAGAATTATATTTTTACCGAGGTATACTTTGTAAAAGTATACCTCGGTAAATATATAATTCTCATAAATAAGGCAGTAAAATTATAGGATAAGGCATAACATCTTAGTCATCAGGAATGGCAACCATGAATGTTATTATAGTTACTACATGATAACGTGATGACCCTAGTGCCGTTCATTATTGGCAATAGTTATCACTTATACATAAGTCAGGCCGACACCTTGTTTTGCCATTCCTTCTATAAAAAAAATATGGTCACCATATTTATGTTACTCTAGATGTGCCTGCGACAATGTATGTGTATTTGTTGAGAAAATATTTTCATATTAATATATATTTATGTTATCTGTGATATATATAAAGTTTATTTTTGTGTTCTCTAATCAAAAACTACAAAACAAAATTATATAGGTATATGTCACTTCACTGTCTCGATAATTACCACAAAATATTTATCCCATTATAAGTTGTATCATCGTTACATAGTATAAAATAAAGTCGCTGTCGCTGTCTGTCCCTATTTATGCTTAAATCTTTAAAACTACGCAACGGATTTTGACTTGGTTTTTTTTAATATATAGAGTGATTCTAGTGGAAGGTTTAGGTATATATATATAATACATTTACACCTGGGCGAAGCCGGTGCGTGTAGCTAGTTACTGTATATTTCTACAACAGTATTTAGATTAAAAATAGGGTAACTTAACATTGAATTTATAAACTGTTTAGAGGTTTACTACTTATATGTGTATGATTAGCATACACAAAGGTACAGACAATCGGGCAAATATAAAAAAAAATCTCACTCGAACATATGCGTAAAGATTAGAAATGTGTTTTTGAAAAAATCTTGAACGTACAATAACGACCGAAAGCTTTACTCTTCCACAGTTTATGCAACATTTCTCATTGCATGTCTGCTCCCATTGATCATAGCGTGACTACTACATCGAGTTGCCTATTTTTTTTCCTAAGTCCCATCTACATCTACTGTGTGTAACAAATAAAGTATATTATATCTATCTACATTTTTAACATAATTCATAAAAACCCTGAATATCAAGGAAACCTGAATGAATCGTCGATGATGATTTGTTTCATTCAAAACATTTAAATGTTTAAAAATAATTAACAATATTCCCTAGTAACAAGAACAAATTAAAACTCTTTTCTAGCAATAATGTCTTTTAAAGTTTTTTTTTTATTTTGGTTAATACTATGACTTGTTACATCATCGTTTTAAGAATATAGGTATGTATATATAGTTATGAGGAAAATGTATAATTTTTATTGACACTTCATAATGCATATTGACACTAATCTCCGCAGGGTTATTACAGTGCGCATGCGTGTCAAAAGGTTAGTGTAGTTCTTGTTCAGTGACCACGGTAGTCCTAATTGTCATCCGGCACCCGCCAGCCGCTTCAACTCTCCTATATTCAGCGCGTAAAACTTTTTCAGCGTAAAAATCTCAAAGTGGTTTTAAAGTAAATAATTATATTCAGTAAATTGACTCTATGTGTTTTGTGTGAGTTTTTAAGGATCGCAACCAATATGAGGTGGGCTGAGATAGCTGTGCTGATCTGCACTTTGGTATGCTCAGGTATGTTTGCTGTTTAAGAATCTGGTTATATATTTTTATTATGTTTTTCGACAAAGAATACATGTTTATCTGAGACGTAATTGATATGATGAGTATAGTTTCTAAGGGACTAATGTCATTCTTTGTGTACTCATTTGTGTTTTCATACTCTGTGTGCATTTTTCATCTCTTGATAGTATCTACCGATATATCATTGATCATAAATTACTGATATACACAAAAAATTTGTTAAATAATATTGATGATATACATCTACTTAGTATGTATGTAGAAGGTAAAATAGAGCTTATCAATTTGAAATTCCACTTTAGTATTATTAGTAGATATGGAAAACATAGTATAAAAATTGACCTTCATGAAGCTTGTCCTACATTATTTATTACAATTATTTAAAATTTGAATTAGATGAATATCCAAATTATTATGATATCTGTAGTTCTATTTCTGACGGTATATGAAAAATATGATTTTTGTAGCAAAATCAGATATTATTATTATTATACTATTTGTCTATGATGGAATAACAAACAGTTACATATTAAGAACAATATATATAAATGAAATCAAATAGACAAATATGTATGTAACTCACAACGTTATTAGAAAAATTTTTGAGAGGGATTGCTATTTTAGAATAACTACTACTTAATGTCGCTACAATCGATTCGATATATTTTGATGCATTAAATCTAAGTTAATATTTTGTATATATGTATATATATTATATAATAAAATATTGTTTTTATTTCGTTTGTAAAAATAACATAAATAACCGTTTATAAAATACCTTTGGCTGTAAACACAGATTTTAATGTATATAAAAAAATACAAATCCTTAAACGTGGCGCTGTAGCGTGTCTTTAGTAAATAAATAAATATAAAATTGTATACTCACAATACTATAAGTACTTATACGTATGTATAAGTAGTAGTAGTTAAACGTAAGTAAAAGTACTTTCGGTTTATTTGCATTTTTTTTCTAATTCTAATAAAACGATATTGCAAATAAAGGCAAAGCGTAGGAAATCGTCTTACTTGTAAAAATCACCAGCAGTTTTACTCAGAAATCAATATAGAAGATCTTATTGCTTGATATCCGGATTGATTCTTGTCACGTACGCTCTCATACGGAGTTCCTTTCAACGGCTCATAGCTCTCACACGCCTTCAGGATTATATCTTTGCATAATCACTTATTGTAAAAATGTAGAGTGTTTTAGGCCGTGAAAAAGGCTAGCAATAAGTGCATAGTTCGTTGTTAAGATGAATATGTTATCTTTACCGTTTTAATAATATTGTAAATAGGAAAGGTTCCATTTTTTATAATATTAGAAATTTATGAACTAATACTTATTACCGTATAATATATTCTTTCACCTAAAAATTATTCTATGATAATAAGGGTCTACCTAACAAAAATATTAATCATAACCATGTAAAGGAGTAAGCTCTAGGTATTCTATTATTTTTACTATTTTGCAGATTTTATTTGAATATATACTGATTCTTGACATTAGTTATTAATATAGCGACTATTTCCGTATTGTATTATATACATATTACAAATATGTTGTTAATTAATGCATAAACAATATTTATTCAAAAAGAATCATTGAACAGAGTTTAATTTAAGGCGAAGACAATTAGCGAAGTTATATGGTACATGACTTAAATCGACAAGTATACATGAACAGCACCACGGTCATCACATCATCACGACGTATTTAATTGTCAAACTCAAGCACATCTTACAAATAAAATTATACTTTGCGAATCAAATAGGCAGGAAGAGGTATCCTTATTATTCATACAAAGAATTTTCAGTTTTTGTTGTTAGTTCAATATTTTACTTCGCAGAACAGTATTTGGATAGTGAATGCATATAATATAGATAAGTACGTTTAATATGAAAGAAAGAATAGTTGATGTACGGCTCATACGTATTTAATTGGTAGGTCAGCCGGTGTGTCAATTATAGTTCATTCAACTAATGAGGTTACGCACCAATAAAAATATCGAATGACATCGTACTTTCATGTAGGACGCTATATTTTCCAAGCTACTTCAAACAGTAGTAGTATCTTTGTACTTATTTCAACCAAAACACAGCTTACAGCGTGGGTTTGCAGAATGACATGGCAGTGATATCACAAAACATGGCGGATTTTTTTTATGGATGATTATGGATTGATGCAACCGCCTGCGCTAACGGTTTACGCTGGCAGGTTCCTTAGCCCATAGTGACAAATTTGCCAATAAATTATCACAATAGTTTCTAAGGGGACCTGCGTGGAGGTCAACCTGACTTGGTACATTGCTAGCAATGGAGTCATTACTTCACATTACTAACTATCCCTTTCCCCCCTAACACGGCGGATTGACGATGTGATATCCTTATATGTAATTGTCACCATCAGGTACCTCTGCTTGTTTGCCAATTCAGGCATAGAAACAAGATTGCAAGAAGTTTCAACTTTTAGGACAATTTTCTTAGTAATCTTTTCTTGAAAATACATATGCAGAGTATTAAATATAATATAATATAACTTGAGCAAAATAATGATAGATAGATGTTTGAGTAAAACATAAATTTTTATAGGATCCGATAACAAAATTTAACACATTTCCGCTCAACTTTTATTTGTGTGAGGTTCTAAGGGAATTAAGTTGAACATGATATTTCCCCATCAGTCGTAAAATGGGAGTGGCCGCCGTACCTGGCAAGGATAATTTGCTGTTTTAGGGCAGGTCAATGAAACTGTTTTATAGAATAACTGTAAAGAGTAAGTAATGGACTATAAATTGATAGTATTGGGGTGGGTTTATGTCTTGAAGGAATAATATTGAGTCAGTTATCCAAGTTGATAAAAGGATATTCAATTAATTGTAGTTTTAGACTGTGTTAGATATATCATACGTAAGTATATTACTAGCTAAATTTATAATAAATTAGATTGATTATATTTATATATCTTTGTCTTTATCTTCTATATTTCTTTGCATATAATAAAATCGTATCCTTATCTAAATAAACTCAATATAAGCACTTTTGAATAGTCATATTTAAATAATGACCGTCAATCTTACCTTGTCGTAAGTAATTTGCTTCTAAATCAGATTCAAATCAGACATTTTTTTTCAAATAGTATTAATGACGAAATGTTGTTTCAATCGTAATCAGGAACACATGAATAAAAGAGAAAGAGTTGGGCCGTTTTTGTGAATTCACTTGAAAGTAAACAGTTTATCTAGATTTTATAATCAGACCTTTACTTTTGCTTTATAATTTAATGTATTTTTTATGGATATTGAAAATAAATAAGTGTAAATATTGAAATGAACCTATTTAAATACTTTGATTTATTATAATTATTAGGAATTTTTACATGTGCAGATTGAGATACAAAAATACTATTAGTACAATTATTAGCAATACATAACTTCACTAATGTAAATTTTATATACAACATAAGTTGTATAGATAAATAATATTGGTGCACATTAATTGTTGGTGTGGGTTACATTACGCGTGGGTTGCTACATAAAAATTAAATTCATCTCGTTGCGACGCGACGCACCTAATTGGTGACGTAGATTGGACGCCACATGTCTGTTCAATATCATTTGGAAACAGGAAAAAGTACTCTTATTAGAACAGGATGTGAGGACTACAGTTAGTTTATCTGAGCTTTTAACGTGGGTATTGGTTGACTGATACATATCTAACATACCTAATTATATAATTTTATGAATATCTACCTACCCGAACCAACATAAACATCATCATCATCATCAACCCACTGCAGTCGACTGCTGAACATACATGAACATACTCATGTGTATTTATGCCTATATATTTCGATCCTGCGATGGGTAGAATAGTAAACTATTAGCGTCATCTCTCAAAACTATTTGAACAATTCTTTAAAGAAATATTAAAAATCTCACTCTTATTATGCGATTATGCAAAATTTGAAAGATGCGTTAATATGCGTCAGGTAATTATTTACATGACACATATCATTATCAAAATCTAGATATCTCAACATATGGTTAGCTACAAAGATCCATTTTAAGCAATCATTTGAAAAAAATTAAAATTTATTGTTTTGTTTGTGACTTCGGTAATGAATGTTTTTAATCCTTGTACACGTACATTCCACAGAATGAACAGAATGTGATATCAAATCTGCTATATCGTGTACGTAACTGCCACAATACATACACATAATTTCATAATAATAGGCTGCTGACTATTGTCTATCAGATCAGACAGTAATTCTGCGTCGTTAAAGAGGGTCACACCGCTTTGTCAATAAGTCGATCCCAAATTGACCTTCTATATTACTTTCACTCAGGCCCTTTGAGAATAGATTAATGGTGTGGCATCTTTACTTAACCGGAGAAGACGTGGGTTACTTTGTCAACTTTTTCTACAGCAAAGTGAATAAGTTTGATTCTATAAATGTATAGTTGGTAGTTTTATATTACAAAAAAAATATCATTGTAAATTGGGTGGGTGATAAAGGCTAATATAATAATTCAAAATGTCAATGTAGTATGTTATTATATGTACATACTATTTCATAAACTTTTTGTTTTGAATATTTAGAGTATATAAGAAATACGTATGTATATTAGGTATATGTATGAAAGTATTTTACAATTTGTACATTGCACTTTAGGAAACGCCATTAACATTTAAATATTACTTATTGTGAAAATATTGTAATTCAACAAGGCACAATTGCATGCAAATTTTCTTTTATCTGATAAAACATCCTCAATTAGCTATATTGTTTTGGTCATACGATAGTTAAAATTTTTCATCAGATGACTTATCAGGATATATATATATGTGTATGTACATATATACTTATATTTTATTTCGGGTTTAAAAGTTATAAGAACTTTATTTACTGTATAAAAAAAATTGAGCAAAATTCCCATTCATGATTTTATCATTTATTTGGGATAACAACAGCTTATATTACTAATTTA